GGCAGAGGTAGTATGGTTAACTCTTTATAAAATAAAACTACTATGGTTTGTACTTATAGAAGGCAGTTGCATACCAGTGTTGGGAGTATAATGAGCCGCACAATGATTACGGCTGCAACCAGTGGGGAAAGCCAGACCAGCTTTCAGTCCATCTTCACCAATCAGACGTCTTGCTGTTGATTCTAGTTCTTCACAGATTTGAATCATAGTCATGCCTGGCTTGATCCAATCGCGCATATATTTACGTGTCTGTAACAAATTTATTTAGAATTTCGATTTTATATCATTTGTGCAGCATTTTTTATTAGACACCAATCATTATGTCTTATAGATTAACCATTATTACTTTGTATCATGTTGTTGAATAGCATTGACACAAGAATACAATAATAATTTCTGTGATGTTATGTATGAAAATTTATTAGCAAACTTGTTAAACAATAGTTCTCACAGAAAATCTTCCATACATCTGGGAATTTTATTGCTAGATATTATGTTTTTTAAATTGTTATTTAAAAGTTCTAACTGGCATGTTTCTATGACTAAATGAATGAATATGATGGAAACAAAACATCACGGGAATATGGATTGTTAATGGTGCTAGTTCGTGCCTACTAAAGCATAGGGTTTTAAGTGTATGTAATAATTATTAAATGATTTCCTTACTTGTCTATGTGCCTCTGCAGCATGTCTGATTTCCTGATAGATGTCTTGGTGCAGTCTATCAAGAGCTCTCTTTTCCTCGCTGGAGAATCGTTCCTTTGCAGTTCTTTCATCAATGCCTTCAGCTGGGCCATGCTCTGTTATCTCACCCTCGGGGAAGTTGCCTGAAGAATGTATTGGTATCATTAAATGCAGGCATGTCATGGCTACATTAAGCACATTTCATATGTAGGTTTATCCATTGTTATGAGGTATATTACGGTAGAAAATTTTATAAGAACATCTAATAGGATTTCACTGAGATTTTCTAATAGCAATAAAATGGAAAATGAACAAACAATAACATAGACAACAAAATTCTATAATTAGACTAATTAAAACTTATTTCCTGTTATAAACAACCAGGGACTACCTACCATCAGGATACAACTCTGCAATAGGGATGGTTGGTGGGTTGGTTTGCTCCTTAGTTGGCCCCTTGCCAGATTTATTTTTGTTCTTCTTTTTCTTTTTCTTTTTTTCATCACCTTCAGCAGGTGCATCATCAACAGTCAAAGCTTCAATCTTTTCTGAAGCATTTGTTACCTCAGCAGAATCATTTTCAGCTGTGGCTTCATTTTCTGCAACAATAACAATACACTAACACTTTAATAGGTACACTAATAGGTGTCAAGTACCTATATGTTTAAATCATTGACTTGTTTTAAGTGCTTCTTTGGCTTGTGGAGCTAGTCATATTATTACTTACCTACATTGTAACAGTTTAATAAGAATACCTAACATACAACATACATATACGTGTATACATAATTAATTGGTGTAAAACGGCGTAATATTATCAGGTTAAGCGTAGGCGCCTCGCAACTATCAGCTTTACAGATAAAAATAGACATGTTGAGGCTAATGCACGATGGAGATGACCAGGTTTGTATGAATATAAATATTGTCACTCCTAACCTGTCTTCTTCTTCTTCTTTTTCTTTTTCTTCTTCTTAGCGGGATCTTTAGTTTCGCCTTCCTCTACAGCATCTAGTTCCTCTTCCTCACCATTTTCAAGTCCCTCAACTTTATTTAGTTCCTCCTCTTTTTTAACGGCAGCCATTGTACCGATAAAGCAGAAAACAATATAAGATTGTAAAATGGAAACTATATTTCCATGCGACCGTAAGCGGTTTTTAACCTCTCTTCTGTTTCACAAAATCACAAAGTTCAACGACTAAAGAGGCACATAGACACACGATGTGATAGGTAGTCAATAAAGTGACAGCTGACAGTAATTGACAGCAGGAGAGAAAATAGTAAAAGCCCTTGTTAGAAAGAGACTACCATATAAATGTCAACTTCGTCCATTGGACACATGAATGTTGCCAACTTGAATAAATAATAAGAATTTGCAGCAAGGTGTTAATAAAAATAAAATAGATTTAAAAAATTAAGTATTATTCGAGCCAAGATTCCTGCTAGTAAAGTATACGCAATGTAGTTTATACTATGGATTAACCCTATAAAAGTTTGAATAAATCGACCACAATTAACCGTAAACTTATCAACTCCATACGAAAATACTTATTTCTCTTTCACCACTTTTATTTATTATCGCGGGATTATGGGAACACCAAATAAGTATTCCATAAGGAATATATCCAATCGCAATAAACGAAGTATTATTTAGTTCAGAAAGCATGGTGTTAAAAGTTTTACATAAAGTTCCGTTATTTGTCGATAGATGGTGCTAAGTGTCATATGTATTGAGCTTCGGAACCTTTCATGGATCATTTTCTCACTGGAAACACGCCAAGCTATGTGTGTGTTACTAAACTTTTTGAAGATTCTAAACCGTATATTTTTGACTTTGGGAATTGAACCCAAGTCACCAGTAAACTTCAGTAGTATCTAGTAGGACGAATGAAAAACTACAGGTGTGTAGATAGATACTACGCATACACGTGTAGTTTCATCCATTTCGTTTAGGCATTATTTAATATTTTAAGTACATAAAAAATTCTTTTATCATCGATAACATAACATAACATCACGCCTTTTATCCCCGAAGGGGTAGGCAGAGGTGCACACAGAAGTAACACCCGCTTTTCACTATTTATGTTATGTAT